CTTTAATTATTAGATAATCAGGCGCATATACATCTAAATCCTTACCACTGGAGTGGGGTGGTTTTTTATCTTTTAATAACAACAGTTATTTTGAGTACATATAGTTTCAACGAAAGTCAGAATATTATAATGGCGCGCATGGTTTTGGAAATAATTGAACCATTATTCATATAGGTATTATTATTTTATTTTATAATATTACGCATACGAAGTTCGTCTGTGACGGCCGCTATGTTGCATGTGACAGATGACACAACCCATACATATTTTTTTAAAACGCAGTTTTCAGACTCAGAAAACTTATAAATTGCGTCGTTATTATTAAACGGATTTGAAAATTCCAACAATCTCCGAATCGCATATTATATTAAAATTTATAATATAACGATGAAATATGACCACGTATAATATAATAAGAAATGTATTTGATTACGTTATTAGGTTTTTTTTCTAAATTTATAGGGACGATTGAGTGTAAAACCACTTGCAGAAGATTCTTCATTCCATATTATTATAATATGATGTAATACAATTTTATAGCTCGGAAAGCAACGTAATAATAATATGATGTCAAGTCTTTATCATATCGCGTGTCTTATTGTTTCTCTGGTGGAAAATTCATCGATAGATGTATCTCATAATATCTTACCTTTCTTTTCGTTAATCATGTTTGACGCGTGAGAGCAAAGTATAGAACGACGAACGCCATTTATGTAGATTGTAGACACGTGTCATTCGTGATGGTTGTAAAAACTTTTTCCAGAACCGAAAAGTTTGAGATTTCGGCGAGGAAAAAAAAAGACCGTGAGATGTGCTAATACTGGTGCGACCATCAATATTGTTCATATTTTTAGTCCCACAACAGTATTATTTGCGTCCAGGTGCATAGCCTAAATTTTTTAGAGGGGGGGGGGAATTGAATTTGAAATTTATTATACAAATATAACTTGCGGTGAATTTACACCACTCTCCATAATTTAAAGTCATCGATCTTCATATTATTAATAATTTCAAATAAGAAATAAAACGAACTAGCATATCTTTAAATGACAACATATTTTATAGACATCTGAAGCATATGTATAATATAGTAAGTATGTGATTTACATACATATACAGCCAAAGGGAGATAATTCAACGGTCCAAAACACCATCCTGGTTTCACTAAACTGATTTCTTTCTTTTACTCATCTTGAGCTGGTGTTGAAGGAGTGGACGAAAAGACAGTCTTTCAACTCGGTCCGATTAAATTAAATTCAAACGATAGTGTGGTTCGTAAAATGTAATACCTGAATTATTGTGTGTTAAATATTGTTCATTATAATATATAATATTGTATTATATAAACAGTGTAAAAAAAAAAAACTTTGATGAATTTAAAATCCGAAAGGCATCAATTAAATATTATGTGTGTGAATGAACGTTGTGTAATACTAATATGTATACACACTGACATACAATTTTGTCACGATATTATGAAATTTAATTTCAAAATCTATGATAATACAATAAATAGGTCATTAAAATTATGTGTTGACATATTAGAGGAAGTAAATTTATAAATAGTCTGTGTAACTACATTTGTCTGCGCTTATTTACACTTTGATTTCGCTGTTTGGGTATGCCTACACATAATTTTATGTCGATTATTACGACCAAATTACTTTGTTCACGAACAGTTAGAGTATTAATATTTATTGATTTTATTATTTAGAAAGGTAAAACCATGTTGGCGATTATAAAATCATATAATATTAAACATGCAGCGATAATCAGGTTTCAAATATTTTTTTCGATGTCATCGATGTGTTGAACAAACACAAAGTGAATAGTGAGAAAAAATAATAATATTCTGTTCACTGTCCGGAAGATGTGAAAAATGAAAATAATAATAGTGGGTATTCTGCTTTGATTCGTTTTTATTAATCCGGAGTTTAAGGTTGTTATATTTGTTTGTTTACGACGGTACTTAAATTCTAGGGGTGTAAGCTTTCAAAAGTTACGAACACACGATTTCAAAACACGTACGTGCACCGAAATCGGGAAAAATCGGAAAATTCTATGTGCACATAATAATGTATTTCGACTTCCTAGAAAATAGGAGTGTAGTATAATGTGTACTCGTATACGATTGTCGTTATGATATAATAAAAAAAAAAATAAATAAACACGTCATAGCTAGACTTCAAATTGTTTCACAAAAAAACATTTTCATCCCAAATAAAATGAGTGAATACTGTATAATATATTATCATGCTTGTGGGTCAATTTGTACCTATTTACCACTTCAGAGTTAATAAACGTGCGTACATTTACGAGGAAAATGCAGTTTTTTTAGAGGCCATGATTTTACTGGTTGGCAGTGCACTACATTTGCTTCGTAAACACAAGAGAATTTTAATTTCAGTGTATTATGCATAATTTCGTTTTTTTTCGTTGGCACAATATTAATACATTTGTCTGTTTACGAATTTTTTGATATTATTATGGTGTTTCGGGGTTATTTAAAAAATAAAAACGCTTCATCATCATCATCACCATCAGCTCAGGCGAAGCTTTATTTATGACATAAGTTCGGTCATTATATTATTATTATGAGTATGTGCCTTGATGTTGCGTTGTCGCAGGTTCCCGAAAAAGTTTTTTAATTTATAAATTCGTAACCATTACGCAACAAACTAATTTATAGTGCGGTATTGACACGAGAACAGTTTCGAACTATTCTTTTTAAATTAATAATATATTAACGGGTTTTGATCGTTCAATTTTCGTCTTACTTATAAATAATTCTGTAAAAATGTCCTAATTAAAGCCTGCTAGCATATGTGAGGTTCTCTATTATAATACGATTGATATTTGAGTAAGGTACAATAATGAGAGAACAAGGCCTTTTATGATGAAACGAGTGTTATTTTTAATATTATAAAAATTATCTACGATATTATATTACGACTGTGTTTTAAATATCAATAATACCAGAAGGTTAATTATTTCAATAGCCAAGGTCTTTTAGTTCGTATTGTAGTTTTATTTCCGTATAGTGACGGACGAAGCAGACCTCAAATATATATATCAAACGATATTGGGGTATTTGAATACGTCTTGTAAACACACCAAGTTTCATAATTACAAGAGGACATGGAATACGGAAGTCACGAAGCATACAGTCGATAAAATTAAGTGCAACTGTACGCGTGAGTTCAAGAGCCAAAAATCTTAAGACGACGACATATTTTACTCGTTGGACACGATAAATCGTATACCACCGTCGACATTTTCGAATGGAAATGTAAGTCTATTCTTATCGTTAAAACAGTTTTGCGTCAAATTTTATAATTGTATATTAATATACAGTTTGTGGGGAGCTACGAGAGGGCATGACTAAACGTATTTGTCGAGTAGGTAATCAACGAATTTATTTTCGATAGGTTTTTTCGATTAAAGCAATCGATGTAAGCAAATTTAACATCTGTTCGTAACAATTGATGCGTATGTTTGTTCATATATTATACATGACAATTCACCAATGTAATTCAATATACAATTGGTTTTTTTTATCTTTAACACATTTTATTTAACTCAAATTCTGATTTTTTATATTTTTGAAAGTATATATTGAAATATTTTTAATATTTTTAAATAGTTAGATTTATTTTGCCATTTAAGAAATCATGTCTATATATACTTTTTTTTCAAATTAGATATTAAAACCCTTAAACATAGTATTACAATTGTATTTTTTGTATTAGTTATTTCTACTTTTTTACTCTTTTAAGGCATGATTCGAATAATGATTACATTTTTTTGAGCATAATATATCTTCATAACCTCAGATCGTATCTTTTATTTTCTAGTACTACAATGGTCCCGACCCTATAAATTTCGCCGGCCGAACCGGGATTTTCTAGGTTATCGTCTTAAAGACTCTATGATCCTGTGCGATGAACCTACCAGTTCGCATTTTGTGCACTTTACCGTCACAGATCGTTAATTTTAGGGCCCCTTTTCGCTGGACTAGACACTATATCTTCATCTATATACGGTCTACTGCAGTCTCTTCAACGTCCTCGTCAAAACTCAAAACTACATTCGAGTTTATTCAACTCGCTTTTGTCTGTACCGCCAACGGATGTCCCTCTTTCTAGAGTTGGCACGCCACACACACATAATCTCGAACTTCGAATAGAGTATATCATCCTGTTCGAGATTGAAAGCTTTAATTTTGGTGTAGCGTTTTGCCGTTTCTGCCGTCAATGACTGTTATAGTATTGAAGTATGGAAAAATTTTAAGTTTTAACCAATTTATAATCAACAATTAAATTCCATCAAGGATTGCCTACCTTCAAATTGACATTAAATTGTTCTTCTTTTAATTAATTTGGTCATGTTAAGTTACTACTTCTTAGTTAAAAAAATAATTACGTTATACCTAAAGTTACTTTTAATTTTTTTTTGTTTAAACATTTTACTGGAGTTTTAATAATGATGTTCGCTATACATCAACTATGTCATGACAATATCAATTAATATTAACAGATTCTAATAATATTATTATTTCGCAATAGAAATGAGATTTTTTTATCCTGAATTTCATTCCAAAAATAACACTTTTTTCGTTACGAAAATGTTATACCGTCAGAAAATCGTACTTGATGAAATATTTACATATAATATTAACAACTGGAGTTCAAAACATATTAGAAAGAAAAAACGAATAATTTAGTTATGGTATTATAAAAAACTAATTTAAATTTCGTATAAGTTACTTACAATAAAATGTAATGAATAATTCCTATCAAATAATTTAAAAAGTAATATCGTTACAGTGACATGTAACCTAATAGTTAATTCAATAACTCTGTATAAAGGTGCAACATTTTTAATCGTTATTTCATAACATTTGAGGGTAGGTTTGTGTTACTATTATCGCTAATCAAGAAACTATTGAAATAATTTCAAAGATATATTTTCTCATTTTAACACAAAGAAGACAATAATACCTGTAGCCCTCGGTGTGCGAGTGTCCAGCGGAACTCCTGGACGGTTCCGGCAGTGCTTGTTGTCCAGCCGCTGCGGCCGCGGCTTGCTGACAGTCGCAGTGCATGACGCACAGCACGATGGACGTGACCACACACACGGCGAACGGGACGGCAAAATAGTGGACGATGTCGGCGTACTGCTGCCGCTTGTCGTAGCCGACTACGGCCAGCGTGTGGTTCTGCCGGGAATAGTGGCACGGGAATGTGGCGCCCGGCACGCCGTAGGCCTTGGTGAAATTGGAACAGGCAACGGCCGGCGGATAACCGCAGCCCTTGATGTTGACCAGCAGCACGGCCTCGGGCACGATCACGTCGCCGCCGCCACGGCCGGACGCCACTTGTACGCCGCCACCGCCACCGGCGCCACTGACTCCACCGGCGGACGTCCTGTACGCCACGTAAATGTGACTGCAGTTGTATACGTCGCTGGTGCAGCCCTCCCGACATGAGCTCCACGTGCAGTTGTATAGGCCGGCCAGCTGTTCGCGGCGCACTGTGGTGCACTGCACCGGTTCCGGCACGAAGTCGGCCAGCAGCGTTGACACGGCCGGGTCCACGTACAGTGGCACCAGGAACAGCAGCGCCGAGCCTGATCCGACGGCGATCATGGCGAACGACAGCGTGGAGTAGAACCACACCTTCTCGCGGAGGGTCCGGGGCGCGCCGCGCTTCTGCTTCTTGGCCGCCGCTAATTCCAGCAGCTTCTTCTTGCGGAGCTGCTGCTGCTTGGTGTCCAGCAACAGTTCGGAGCTGGCGGACCGCATCGCGTCGCATGGTGCGCCGCCCTGCAGCCGGCCGGGGGGCGCCGCGTCACGCGCGATTCGCCCGCCTCAACACCGACGCCGGCACCACCACCACCACCGCAGCGGCCGCCTCCACTTTTACGACGACAACCGGCCCGGCGGCCGTCGACACCACCCGCCGTGGCCGCCGGTGGCCGGTTCTCGGTGAGGCCGAAAAGCGCGTCGCTCGTTCGGGGTGTTTGGGTGTTGGAAATGACCGCGGGCGGACGAGCGTGCGACCTGTCTAGCCGTGTGGACGAACGTACAGACGGCGACGATCGACAAACGGGAGGGACGGACGGGAGCGACAAGCCGACGGACGAACACGATTTTTCGCTCCAGCGTCGGCGTGGTGAGTGGTGTGTTCCCGTACCGCCGTTAGCCGACACACTGACTGACGAGTCGCGCGCGGCGAGTTACGTGCTTTTGACGGCGCGCCGCGCGTCGCCCGGCGTAAAGCGCTGCGTCTGCTGCTAGCCGGGGCGTTCGCAACACGCACGCCCCATCGACGGGCCGCTCCGGCCGACCGCCCGCCTGCCCACCCGCCAGTCACACCGCCGCTGGCACCTCCACTAAGCACCGTCCACCCGCTCGCTAGCACGTCTCCCAAATTTCGAACACAATAGCGGCGGACACACGTGCGTGACCAAATAACGTGTATATACCGCATATACCGAACTTTATATTATTATATTGTATTGCGTACCACCACACCAACCGCGCAAGTAACCCTTTGAACGGCGTGTTATTACTAGGGCCCGGATTTAAATGCCCTAAAAATTATATCCAAAAATTCTCTGAAATATAGTAAAAAGATTGTTTTAAAATGCATTTTCAACGCAACTTTCCCTTGAAAAATTACCAACATTTTTTTTTTTTATACAACGCAACCGCCTGAAAGGTGTAATTTTCGACGTTTTTTAACACGTCTTAATCTTAACTAATAATAATACAAAAACTAACAACTCACTTAGAAAAGCACAAAAAATAAACATTAAGTGTATACATTGGAAATTAAAGTAATCACGATGTATCTCGAACTGACTAATTAGTATTTTTGATTATTACTATTGAACTATATTATTTTAATAACTGGAACGATCATACCTACCATAGTATAACTCGTGCAAATAAAATCGAGCGAGCGCATTAAAAAAAACATAGTCAATACTCAATACTTAATATTTTGGATATTTCTATTTCAGTCTTCATAGATTATCGTATTCACAATTTACATGCATAGAGGCATAAATTATTGTACATTTCTATCAAGTTAATTTTATTGAAAAGTTTTCTATATTTACCAAACTAATTAAGTTATATTGTCAAAAAAATGGTCTCAGTGTACAACTATTATCGATCCATAGTAGTGATGTATAGGTACCTAACCTATTAGATACCTACTTATACAATATAGTATGTATTGATATTGAATATACATGCAGAATTAATATTTTACAAGTTAGCATTATTGTGAACTATTGATTAATTCTTAATTTGATTTGTTGTACTTTTAAATTAGGTTATAGATTTAGAAATACTTTTATTAATGTTACTTTGTATGTGTATTGTGTATCTACGACAATGAAAGAGTAAACATGTGGATACATGATGATTGATGGACCTATTTTAAACCTATAGAGTAGCAGTTCATTTTTATTTAGTTTAGGTACACTTCCCTGAAAATAACAACATCAATTAAATCAGTTGTAAGTGGACAATTATATATTAATAAGTACATACAAGGCATTTTTAGTTTGTAGATGTGTTGAATACTTACTTCCTATAACTTTCTGTAATTTTATTTAGATAGAGCGACTAGAGAATGACAGGAAGACTGAATAAAATATGTATCAGAAAGTGGCGTATGAAAATAACAGGTGCTGAAAAAAGGGGGATTTATAATAGTGGAGTAATACAAGTGTGACTGATCCCACATACTTGGTAAACATTGGAGAACAAGAACAAATATAGAGTTAATTTGTTTCAATCAAATTTAAATTGTTTTCTATGTTACAGGTAAAATATCAGGATCAAGATACAATTCATTCCAGGTGGTGATGAACAAAGAAATATTATTATGGAAAGTTTTTCTATCATGTATAATATTATAGATGATTATTAATTATTATATATATTATATAACTGGGGGTGCTAAATATCTATTTTTTCTGTTATCTAATTTTGATAAAAGCACAGATTTCAATTTAAAACATGTTTTTGAGGGAATTATTCACAATACTACTAGAGTAAAATACGTGGATGATTCGTAGTACTAACTACTACTAAGCAACAAAATAATAGAAAAAAAAATGTTATATAATATATTATGCACATTGTACATACTACGGTTGGTCTTAAGAGGATACATTTTTATAAAGCGTCTTTTTGCATATTTTACTAATATTTTAAGAGAATATTACAAACTTAAATTTTAATTTTTAAGAAAATACAAGTATCATAGTTTATCTATTTTAAGATAATATTAATCCTTCCTCTACTTATGATTATGAACTAAATTATGATTAGATAAAAAACAAAACTATACATAATCGCTGTATGTGTCGAACAAAACTGGATACACCTATGTGTTCGCCATTTCTTTTTAATACTCTGGGCAACACTGAATGGTGAGCGTTCCAGTTATTACATAATTCAATGGTTGTAATTTATAATGTCCAATGATCAATAGATAAAGATTTAATCGTTTTGAATGTTTCATAAATATAGAACTATGGACATTTGGTACCGATAAAAAATACCATTAATGCAAAATGCAAACAATATATTAATTTCTTGATATAATATTTTTGATTTCCTAATTTCTACTTAAATCTCGTATAATACATTTATTTATACATAAAAAATTAATACAATTACCTGGAAATGTAAAAAAAATGTTTTTTTCAAATATGGGAAATCTACTTATACTTACCAATTATTGTTGTAATTATATTATTTTTACGGACGGTTTCAACGTTATTTGGTTGAATTGATTATGGTTTAATAATAATTATTAATCGACATGTTTAACTAAGTATATGAAATAGTGCTATGTCAACGTGCGTATTGAGGATATTTAGAATACATTAAACCACTAGACATACGTCGTTATCAGTGTTCGAAATTTATTTTGAAGTAATCGAGTCCAGACCAAATTTCGTCCTGTAGTCATATTTCCCCAAATTTTATTTTAGCCGTATGTTAATTGTTTTCTAATATTGACTTTTGTCCTATCAATATTCTATTTTTTTTTTATATTCTATATTCTATATTTATTTATATTTTTTCTTTTTATTAATATTCTAAGTTTTAAGTCTATTAAACATATATTATTTTATACATTATGCTGAATATGCTCATTAAATATATGATAGGTTAGTTGACATGAATCATAGTGTACTCATAGGCTACTTAAAAATAGGGGCATAGATTGGTTTTAACCCCCTCCAGAATTTCTTAACTGTGAGAAGCCAATTTTATTCCCTGTTCCCATAGGTAAATTATATTGTTATAAAATATTTTTGGGACTCCTGCAGCTTCCCGTAACTTTTAAAGGACTAATTACTCATATCACGAGTGTACCTTTATTACTTGGACTACATTTTTTGGTCCTAATGAGGTTTGGACAATAGTTGTTGCCTCTTGGAAAAACCATGTTTGAGGACCTTACATTCTAAAACCTTAACTGGTACATTATTGAGCTTATATAATAGTACAAGAAAAACACCACAATGAAGTAAGAATCCTCCTCTTCACATAAAATGTATAGTTATGCAAATTTAAATGTTTTGCATTTTTAACAAGTTAGCATGTCATGTTTATTAGAATAGTTGGTGGTTCTTGAATAGTTAGTTCATCGAGATATTCAAATAAAAAATAATAGTGTGGGAATGTGTCGTATTTAGAGATCTACAGGATTTTTAGTATGCAACTACACGCTGCCTAACAGGCATTTGAATATTTGAAAATGCTTTTACACGGTCACTCAAGTTAAAATAAACTCAGCTTGTGCCTTATAGGTAATATGTGGTGCCCATAGAAAATCCCCAGGTACACTCTTCACGGATGCGGTGCAATAGGATTTTATCCCATTCTTCCCATTTCGACATTCCACGTAGTCAATGTAGAGAAAACGAAAACCGTGGGCAGTGAGTACAATTTTTGATACATAGGTAATATAATAATAAATATATTTTATATAATTATTATTCAAAAAAATTTTCAAATAACTAAGTATTAGATTTTAAAATTGTTCTCATAATATATTACGAGTATACACTTTACACTACAGATTTCAAAGAATTAAAAAAATGTAAACTAAATGTGCTTTTTCAATCGTTATTTTTTTTTCTAAAAAAATATTTGGTTTTGAATTTAAGAGGTGTTTTTTGGTATCGAATTGGATATATTCGGTTATTAGTACATGATGGTTCTGTATTATACATTATTCCAAATATCTTTTTTTTCTAGTCATTTTTAGTTCAAATTTTTGAAAATTAGATATAAATAAATGAAGAATAGTTATTTTGCGGTAATTTAATAGTGTCATATTTTATTACTGGCTTAAATAAAAACATACGCATTAAAAATCTCAATGTAACGGGGGTTTTTTTAAGTGTTTTTCAGCAAAATATTCTGCCATTCAAAGTTTAGAAAACTTGATATAATATATCGCGTATTTCATAAACAATTCAGAAAATAAACCAAAACAGATAGTATTGGTGTAATTACAATGTCGAGTGTTTTCTTTTGGAGAAATCTGATGGAATTTCATCATTTCTACAAAGAATTTATTCCTTAAAATTGTTTTATATGATTAGATCATATCATATGTGTATGTTTAATTGCAAAATAATATGCCTTCGTCATTCGGTTTAAACATATTATAATTTAGAATATAATGCTTTATGTGAAACAGAACAAAATTTGGCCATAGCTGCTCTTCTCCAGCGAACACCGCAAATATTTCAACAATTTGACCAGTGGTCTCAATTTGTTGCAACTTATTGTTTTGTATAGTATTACATTTTTTCGGCATAATTAATTCTAAATTTTAAATCACTTGCATAGAGTTTAAAACACTCGCATATGTTATTTAAACATACATTGTTAAATTATGCAATACAACAACATATTTTGTTCCACAGTAAAATATAATTATTTATTGTTCGTACTAAACAGTACGGTTTTATTTTTTTCAACAGAATAATGGCTAAACTGAACATGGTCGTGTTCAAGTGGGACTCATAAAGAGTATAAGCCAAATATTTTTTTTGTTACGTACCAAATCTTAATAAACATATATTGAAGGTTTTGGAAACGTGAAAATATAAGTTTTCCTGTTTGTTGACATTAATTGTTCTGCCCCAAAACGTGATAACAGATAGAAAATATTATTTAAAAAAAAATCACAG